TATGATCATAGAAGTGCGCGTGCATTTTAACGAAAAATAAATAAATAAATAGACTTTGAAGAAAAAAAAGCAAAATTCTCACACTAGTTTTCATAAATGCGATCTTTTTGCATTGCCATGCAGAATCTACTATGATTCTAGTCATCTTGAAGATACATATAAATAACACTGGCATTTACATGCGAATCATATATCTCATATGTCTTGTTTAAAAACTTTAGAAAATTTTATTTGCATACAAAATAATTTTTTAAATACATATTTCTGAATTTTTCTCAGAACAATTATTTCCATCGACACTTCTCGATCACAAAGAAATAACCACCATCTTTCGTTCTCTTACACTCATTGACTAAAACAAATGACCCAATAGATGTTTTTTCCTTTTCTGTTCATGTTCATCTATATGCGATAAACTAGCCGACAATATCGTTCAGCTGAGAAAATTTTATTCGAATGCATGTGTCTGCGACATTCAAATCTAGAGATGTGCTTGGTTTTGTATATATGCACAACAATCGCAAATATTTAACAGAATTTACATGCTTGCACATCAGATGCGACGACTTAAAACATATTTTGAAAATAAACACGAGTTTTTGAAAAGTTCTTGAAGAAAACACGCGTTTTTTAGTTTTCACGTTTGACTACATAAGCGGTCTTACATTTAAGTTATACGACTTGGCTAAAGCATTACTCCTTTCATCAACGAAAATTCGTGCACGTTGTAACTGATAAATAAGAGAAAGCTCTGCTATGCGAGTGTTTTGGAAGTTTCATTTAAACAATAAATAAAAACCACGCATTTCCATTCAGTAGAATGATATTTTTCATTCACACACAAGATCTAATGAAATATCAATTGCACTTAGCGGTGTGAGTATTATTATTAATAGTAAAATGAAATTAACAGTTTAAGTTACAAATAGTAATTTATCGGACTTTTCAAATTGATCAGCCAATAATTAACTCTTAAGAAGTATTTTTTATTGAATAATGGAACTGTCTTCATGGAGTTAGAGTGCTGTTCAGAGCTTCGCGGAACAGTCCAAGAGTCGTCCCATTTTGTCTCGCATTCCACCACTTTCCGTCTCATTCCGTTGTGTCCCACGGTCATCGTGTCTCATATTATTGATCAATTTTCCTCTAAGGTACCTTCAGTTATCAAAAGCTGCATGATCGTGGCTCTTGGCAGATCTTGTTCGACGAGCCCTTTTCTGATCTTGAATGGCAATGACCCAGGAGATTCATGGGGGGTCGGATCCTGTCGAATCTAAATAATTTCTATCGGATTCGACAGGGTTTTTTTATGAAAGATGTCGGATGCCGATGAAATCCGACGCGGATACGATCGAAAACGATTGGATCTACAGGTCGGATTGAATCTTCTGGGGAATCATAACAGAGATATCTAGACTTGCGGATAACTCTATTTGGAGCATAGTTGAAAGGTTTTCTATTGAAACCAGTATTTAAGTTAGTGGTCATGCTTATGTAAACTCATACGATTTGTTGTAATTCACTCCTTGAAAGTTTTTTTTTTGGATTATTTTTAATGACAAAAGCTATAGCCGTGGTTACGACACTGAGAATATGGATTAGAGTCGAGACAGTTTGATCGGTCGAGTTTGTCGAGTAGCCAAAGAATCTATGAAATTTGACCGAATTGGACTTGTATGCTGCGCTAAGTGTAAACAATTATGGTAGTTTCTTCTTTAGTATGATGATGGGAACTTTATAAGCACATGAACGTATATCATCACTATCTACCTTGAAATTATGCGAACAGCGTGATAATTTGTGGATTCCTATTTTGCGAACAAATGTTTCAACATGCATCATATGTAATCGAAATTGGTAGTCTTCTTTGAATGTTTTCTTTTTTTTTTAACAGTATTGGATTGTTTTGTTGTGGAGAAAAAAAATAAACAACAACAGTTTTAGTCGAAGTTTTGACAATAGATTCTTCACTTTTAATCGATTTGTCTCAAAGAATTTCACCGATTTTATTCACCACTCCTCACTCCTATCACTTGGCGCTTTCCTTTTCTTTCAATAAACGGTTATATGAGACAATACTGTCGATTGAAGCTCTCTTAGAAGAGCTTTGTGGGATAAGAAAAATAACTACAACGTCTCACCCCATTCCACGAAGCTCTGATACTGTCGAACGCATCTTGCTTTTTCGGCTCAATAAGTAATTCGTCTTATCTCTCATGTTAGTCTTACAAGCCTTAGAATTTTCTGACCTTATTTAACTCGTGATTATCGTGAGGATAACTTTTTAGAATGTTCTAATAAATTACCAAAGTGATCATTGAGTTCTATCGTGTATATGTCAGTTTGGTAAAATAAACACTTATCATCGGTACCAGTCCAAGTCTACCGAATACAGAAAACTGAACGAATGAAGCGAGCCAAGCTCTAATAGAATAGATGTTGGGTAGAGTATGCGTGACCAACCCTTCATTCACTGCCGGTCAGATTGGACTACCAGAAAATGTTCGGATTACGAAGCCTGACATCTAATGATGTCAAACGAAGAGGAAGAATGTATTTCGTTATATAGATGTTAGCAAAATGACCTAAACCTCGATAATAACAAAGGATAGCCGACACGGAGGTGAGTATTCCTTCAATTTCTCTTATTATAAAGATTGATTTAACAAAGTTAAGAGGCGTCACTATAAAGCTTACGTGACTGTCGAGTGGTGATCGAAATTGTTGTTGACATTGTTAATAATGTTGACGTTATTGTTGTTTGCAGTAATGTGGATGTTGATGTCGAGATTGCCAACGTTGCTGTTGTCACTGATGATGATGTTGTGGTGCTGGTGTTTGACTCTTTAGATGCAAGACTGGGGAATTTTACTACCAGCGACAGAATAACTGCAAAAAGTGTTAAAAAAGCAACACACATGACGATGATTTTAGTCCAACGATGATGCCACCATTTGTGTGCTCCCTTGTTTTTAGTGACATGCCCACTGTAAGCCTGATTGTTATGCATATTATATTCCACAAAAATCTTAAACGCAACAGAAACGAACTATTGCTTCAAACTACTTTAGATGTGTTTATCACTCTTCGAGGAGTAACAAAAAAGAAGTACTATTATCTTCAATGCCAAAAATATTAGTATACCTTTATCTTTGTATGATAAATATTATATGTGAGGATGATAGTGCAAAACTATGCTTCATTCTCAAGTTTTTTCACGTCGAATGTCCTAATCTTGATATTATTTTTTTTCATTCAGTCCATAAATTAATATTTTTTTATCACGTGTCATAAACACTGGTTGTTTGTTGATTTTGTCGCTTACAGACGCCTCTCTAAATGTAACATGGAGTCTTTAAACAACTTTTCTAAAACCAAATGACACATTTGAATCTATTTTGGAATAATAAACAAAATAGAGCAGCGATAATGATTCCGAGCCCAAATTTTCTAAAAGTAACAATTTGTCTACTAGATAAACTTGGTTAAATGCTAAGTTGACTTTTGCCAAGTAAATTTTTTATCTGTTTCGTAAATAATCTGAATGTTAAGTAAAATTATTGGTCACCAAGTAAATTTTAATTGGGTCAGTAAGAAAAATATTTGCTAAGTTCAATAAGTAATATAGGAGTAAAATATTTTTCCACTAAGTTGATAAATTAACATTTTAGTTATAAAATACAATCGATAAGTGAAAATTACTATTAATAAGTAATTTATTATGGCTATGATTTAAACGGTCAGTAAAATCGATTAAGTACTCAGTAAAATATTTGATCAGTAAAAAGTACTTAGGGCTATCCAAAAGTAGTGGCCACGACACTTTTGTATCATGCTATATCCTTTAAGGAACTTTTTCTCTATATAGTCTGATAGAGAAAAGAATGCTCTATTTTTCTATGCCATTTGATCATAATTCAACCAATATCATAATAATAAAATTTCGATAAGATCTATTCTGTTCCCATATGTCACGGTTATATAAAGCTCATTTTCAAAAAAAAGGTAGACGAGTATTTTTCGAAAACTTTTGTTAGAAATAAGATAGAGAATTGTGGTTTTCACTGTTGGAAAGACAAGATGAAAATGCACCGAATCGTATATTACAAGGTTTCCTGATCTGGTTTTTTATAAGTTTTTGAAATGGTCTTTTTAAGAGCATACCTGCCTGAGAAGTTGTTACAGTGAATTTTCAATTATCAAGTATAGATTCAAATCACTAATCGAAGATCTACAAAGTGCGGAAATCTCAGATCAATAATATGTATTTTAGTGAAACTTCTAATCCTCTTTTCTAGCAATTTCTGTGAAAAAAAACCTCACTTTTATCGCTTTCTCTTGTCTGATAAAAAAAGAGGATTTTTTAAGAGTTACAAAATCGTATAAAAATACTTCACAAATCGATATTAGAAAAAACAATAATATATGTTTGGATCAATATTCTGGATTATTATTAGTATAAAGAGTGTTTTTTTTATCGATAGAAAAGACAAATCATTCCAAAGATTGAAATGATAAAAGTAGCTTGATTTTTTTTACCATTACTAGTAGTAGAAGGTGGTTTTACTCTAATGCTACTGACAGTAGTAGGACTGGGTTTAATGCTAATGCTAGAACTACGAGTAGGAACAACCATAGTTACTTTTGGCTCAACATAAAAAACGATATCGTGTTTTGATGTTAAATTATATGTCATATCACGAGCTTCAATACTCAAATAATGTTCGCCTTTGATAGCTTTCCACAGAAAGACTCCTGTGGTCGGATTAAACGTTGAATTAGTCGGTTGATGCAATGGAGATAATTTTACAGTATGTGATAAATATTCACTTTTTGCAGATATAGTTAAAATAAATTGTTGACCATCTATTAAATCGCTACGGAGAGGATGTGATTTGTTGAATACTGGTGGATTTTTTTGATTTTCTCGAATTAATAGGTGTTCATTAGCTGCTTTCAATGATGTAAGAGCAAAACTTTTATCATTTGTTACAGATAAATCATAATAACATGTTCGTTCGGCAAAAAGTCCATGATGAAGGTGAAGATGTTCGATTTATTTTACAACTATTAAGTGTTGATATTGAAGTATTGTTTGTTGATGTCGGATCAGTAAATGGTGGAATAAAATTACGATTTTGTTGTTCAAAAAACTGAGCAGATTGACTTGGTTCATAATAAAACAATGAAGAAGATGGATCAATAGCCCACGTAACACCAAAACCTGTATGAATACGTTCGAGTGAAGCATTACTGCTTATATGATATTTCCATATTTATTTCGTAAATCATTATGTTTATTACCATCATAAGTACCTAATAATCCAAATGTTCGATTATGAAAACTTCCAGCCACTGAAACAGCTACATTAAGTAACAATTGTTTTGATGGTACTGCCATTTCAATAACATTTATTTCAATAGTAACACCAATATTTCATGAAAGAGAAAAATGACGATTTTCATTTCCATAAAGTCGACTAAAAGTCATTTCAGGAAAGAAAAGTATATCAACGTTACTTCGAATTCTACTGGTTTATTATCACGATACAGAAGAAGACGTTCGCGATGTGAAATGGTTATACTTATTGGTTTATCTCCAGCGTTAGTAGATCGAGCAGCAAAACCTTTTGTAATGGTAGCATTGTTTGATGATATTGGTACCGTTTGAATTTGTGACATAAATATATAAGACTGGTTAGTAGCATTAAAGGAAGGTGATGGTGAAGTCGGGTGTGGGTGTGGATGTGGGTGTGGGGTGTGCATGTGGGTACGGATGTTGATCAAGAAAAGACTAACACTCACACCCACACCCACACCCACACCCACACCCACACCCACACCCACACCCACACCCACACCCAGACCCAGACCCACACCCACACCCACACCCACACCCACACCCACACCCACACCTACACCTACACCCACAACCACACCCACCCACACCACACCCCGCACCCATAGGTCCTCCAGGGCTATTAGATGGAGATATCTGTGGGTCCTCAAGGGCTATTAGATGGAGGTACCCCTGGGCCCTCTAGGGCTATTATATGGAAGTATGTCTGGGTCTCCCGGAGCTATTAGATGGAAGTACCCCTGGGCTCTCAAGGGCTATTATATGGTGATACCCATAGGTCCTCATGGGCTATTATATGGAAGCACCCCTGAGCCCTCTAGGGCTATTATA